AAGTATTTTTAAGGCGCAATTAAAGTATTTCCTTAAATGAGGGGTTGTTATGTTGATTTTGATTTGATTATCAATAAGTGAAAATATCAAAGACTGCAGAGCTATGTGATTTAAAGATAAAAAAATAAAACTGACTGATTATAATAACGTTTTCTTTATTTTTCTCTCAAAACATGATCCTTACAAGGAAGTTTCGGTTTCGGTTTCGGCGGAAACTGAGACCGTTGCCGAAATTCGGTTTCGGTCGTAAAAACCAGTTTCGGTCGGACACTAATTGCATGTAATAAAAATTCTAATCCGTATTTATTTGTCGCCAGTAACTTCATAAACGTAATAAATGAGAAGCCAGTGAACGCGTGTGAAGACGGCCAGGAAATTGACCACTCTACCGGATACACCATGTACCAGATGTTCTTCGACTTTTCGCCGCAAAAGTCCCGTGTCAGAGCCATCTTGGGGTGCCGACGATAAACTTGTAATACTCGTAAAGTTGTTCCTTTTCCAGGTTTTCAATTGTAAAATCGAAAAGGAACTTGCAGACTGATATTCTTGTGATTATTATTTTTTTGTTTCTTAAGTAATTAGTATAGTACAAAGAACCGTCAAAATTATAAATTTACATGAATTGTACAATTCGCGTTCAATTTTCAAATTTTAACTTGGCAGCTAAGTACAGTAATTCTATTGGTCTTGAGAATATTTCGTGTTGCCGTGGTTTCGTATTTTAATTTTTTTTCTTTTGATGTAAGTTCTAGTGCATAAGGTAATTAATTGAATTTAAGTTCCTAACGTTTTACTTGAAAGAATTGATTTTAATTTTGTTATTTCTTTTTGATAATTGTAAATAATCACTACGTTGTGTAGCGTTTTATCTTATGGAATTGTAAATACAATCGGTTTTACTAATATTGTTAATTTATTTAAAATATACGTCGTTGGTAGCTGCCGATGTCTGATGTTTTTTATTTTACTACATTCATAATTAAATTAAAACAGTCTGTTGTTTCAATTGTTTAACGCCACTGTCAATATTTTGTGTATTTTTGTTTTTAATGCAATATTCAATCAAGTTACCATTTTTTTGTTATCATTTGTTTCCTGAACAATAATGTACTTAAAAATGTTCATTTTTTTCTGCTGCAATAAAGACTTGATTTTTTTAAATGTTTTTTTTTTCTTTGTGCATAACACGCAAAACTATAAATATCATCTGGATTATTGATTTAACAAAAGAGTTTGGATTATGCAGATAAATTTGAAAATATGGCCTTGCATATCACTAAGAGATGATTTGTGAGTGATAAAAAAGTTAAAAAAAAGTAAGTATGTTTAATATATATTTCCTAATATAACGAAATAAAATTTAAATACATGTTGTCACAAAAAGAGCGCTCTTTTTTTAAAGAAACTATAATGATCATGTTTCGTTGCACGATACAAAGGCAGAGGGAAGACAGATGTAAGATAATTACCAAAAATATGACCTATGAACTTTAATAAAAAAGAACAATTACACAGTTTGTTCATTGAATAGCTGTAGCGTGTGAATTTTGTAATTTGTCTAAAGGTCGGTCAAATGTTGAGAAATTGCAATAATTGTTTTCAGAGAGAGCTTTATACCTTTAAATTATGACACTGTTCTGTTTAAGTACCTAAAAGTTAAGGATATTATGAAAAAAGTTATATTAACTATAAATACTTTTATTTATTTTGTTTAAAAAGGGGTTTAATATTCGTACTGTTGCACCCAGTTGGATTATATTCAGTTCGTAGTTTGATAAATAAATAATTTTCTGTAGAAAATTAAGTTTTTTATATGTTGCGGTATATGGGGCATACTGTATATTACGTATTTAGAGTTGCATGGCCTACTATTTCACTTTAGAGTTAGACGCATTTATACCAACCGGCTCGTTGGTCTAGGGGTATGATTTTCGCTTAGGGTGCGAGAGGTCCCGGGTTCAAATCCCGGACGAGCCCACGGTATCTTTTTTCATTTTTTTAATTAAAATCCATGACATTCTTGAAGTAACAATTAAGCATAATCACTAAATCAGGTAATTACTCATTATATCAATATGAAAAAGATAAAAATTGCATATATAATTTTATGTTTTTTTTTTATAATCTTTTCTCAATATTATAAAGAAAAATTGATATGAAATACGTAAATGTTAAATTGTGTAATTTGGTTTAGTAAAATAAGTTACAGGGCAATGTATCTGGAAACAATTATTATGTGTTTCAACTGTTTAATCGTGAAATGGGCGCTTCACCATTGACCCAGAGATGGATGGTACAGTATCGCTCCCCCTTAACACTGTTCAGCTCTTCTTCAACATCTCTTTCTCGCATTTGACCTATGATTATACTGATTCGCTAATGCGAAAAGTTTCTTATATTTATCTTCACTCTCGCTTTTGCTCTACTCGCGCTGCTACCAGTGGTGCTAATGTTAAGAAGTGCTATTAACACCGTACAAACAGAGACTTCTTCACGTGTTTTTTATTAAACAGAATCGAAAAATCGGATACCGACTTTTTACATTCGGTGGTGGTAATACCAACAACGTCGAAAACGATAATAAGGACATTTTGGAAAAAAGGTAAATTTAAAAGTTCGAAAAGTTTTTCTATGATGCTTTTTTTTTTGTTTAATAATTGTAAATTCAACTTTTCTTTTTAATGCTGATAAGAATTAGAAGAAAATGTTCAATTAGAAATTTTTGTTTTTACCTTAAAAACTATATAATATATGCAAATTAACTAATATTTTTTAAGGTCCATTTTTATATCAGCAACCAATTAATTAATTAATTATTGAAGAATTACCGTTAGTATCCGAAATTTGTGTAAATCTAAAAACTAATTCCTAATAAATTTTGTGATAATATTATAATTACCAATTTTAAAACTAAACTTGGTCTTAAAATACATCAATAAAATTATTACATAGGCACTATAAAACTGTTTTTAAAACTACATACGTTGTATAGTCCTGAAAGTCATTCATAAGCGCATCACGTTAACCTTTATGTTACAATTAAAATCTTAAGAAGTATTCAAATTGCTTCTGCACTCACTTTCAATTATACAATTATTTTTCGAGATGCTTTCCATATGTTCTAACATTCTAATTGAAAATACTTTGCATTTGGCCTACATAAATCAACTAAACTGTCGAAAATCGTTATACGTTTTATTTTACGAACGTAGAAATTTCTTTTAGCTTTAAAAGTGATTACTGCGTTATTTTTGTGATTAATTTATACGAATTAACGTAGAAAGGCATTAAGAAATTATTGTAGCAGAAAAAGGGTGTCATATTTGAATATAAAGTTGGTAACATGTTGATCCACAATTCACAGTTTTGTTCAAAAAGTATTTTGCGAAACTGTACATAAAGTAAGGATCCTAAAAGTACAATTGTTTGCTCTGCGAATTATTACATTCAATGAATTCTGTAGGTAATGCGTTTTTGAATTTCTTTTTTTAGGTCGAATATATTTTGTTTTGTAGACGAGAAAAAAACGTAAACTTGAAACAATTTTAAGTGTATTTTACTTCATTTGTTTTATTTATCTGTCACTCAACATTAATTCAGAGCATTTTTGTGCTACGATTGTCATTTGTTATTGTAGATATTTAAAGTTTCACGAACAGACGAATGGATAAACTTAAACTTATTATTAAAATGAACTTGTAAAGTAAACGGGTCGATAGTAATGAAAGGATTAACGATTAAAATCAGCAGATTTATTTTGATCTACATTCTATTTTTAACGAATGACAAAAGAAGAGATAGTTTTTCATTTTATTTTTTCACTGAACGAAATAAGTAGCAAAGGTTACGAAGATGGATGATATCGTGAAATAGCATTTTCTCAATCGGACCCACCCACTAAGAATGAATTTCGCGGCAAGGAACTAAAATTTACGCTTAATCCTAAAAATACTTTTGAATTACGTAAAATGAACAATTCAAGGTAATCTCCGCTGTAAATAATCTTATCGATTTTGTAAGGATAAAAATGACAAAATTATTGCGGAAATTTATTATGGGATAGTTCTGTTCTAAAGGTCTTCTATTTTATTAAACAATTTATTTATATTAAATGTCTGTTTGAGAATGGGATATTTGTTTATTGATTCGGTGGATTTAAAATATTTCGAGGTCTCCTTTTTAATATCGTCCTTCTTTACAATCACTTCACTTAAAATTGTAGAAAAAAATGAAAAGTGTCTATAATTTCCACACAAGGATTATTATTATTTTGAAATACGTATGATATTTTGTTCAAAATCACAAAAATAATTAAAGTGCGCTACAATGCGGCATTATAAACATTAACATACCTATAATATTCATCTGTAATTTATTATCCAAATCTATGTCATTAGTCATTTGTTTAAAATTACTGTTTTCTATAAATACAAACACTACGTCGTCCCTTAAACTGTTAATTTATAATATGACACACCATAAATGTTTATTAATTTATTAATTACATATGTTAATGTATTCACAAGATAAAAATAAATAATGAACCAACGAACTTGATACTTAATAAAAAATTTTAATTAGATACTCACATCTATTAGTTTTCATTAAAATATTAAAAGCTACATCAATTTGATTTTAATAAACAAATGCGAAACGTACCAACATAAAACTGAACGGGTATGACAAGTGAATAACTTATTTCCACGATTTGGGTACTTTCTATTGATGATAAATGGTTAAGAAAACTTGGTATCTCGCTTATACCATACATACCCTTTCCTTATTATACATACATGTAATATATTGCTAGTGCAGACGTTTGAAGTCGTTGACTCTTTAGAACAATGTTGCTATTATTTTTATTGGTCATTTTGGCGACGAGACAATGTGCGTAACCATCTTATAACACACTGTGGTCAGTGCCATTACAATCAGAGTAATATCAGACAATTACCGTTACGGATTGCAGCTCTCATATGTTATAACAGCGCTATACCTTTCGATAATACAATATAAATATGTATCACATTACAATGATACGTGAGATTGTTGCTAAAATATTTTTTTTGCGTGTGGGTACGACGTATATGGAGTGCGAGGCCTTTTGGCGAATGAAGAAATTTAAGAAATTAATCTGATAAGCCCGTAGATTACGAAGAGTCGAAAAAAACCGTTTAATCTGTCGATTGTTTTGCTTTCTACTTTGACATTTTCATTAAGTATTACAATATGCAACAATAATTGTTGACAGTGATGATATTTACGACGGGGGAGTACCGGACGCACGCTATTGGGCAATTGTTCAAACGAAACTGAAAACGATATTTTGAAACTTAGACCGTGGGCCGCATGATTTGATTCCTTCTCAACGATTCTTAATAATTAATTATTTGTTAACTGGTTAAATCCGTTCAAATTTGGGACGACTAATACAGAGATGTGATTTATTTGAAATACTTGCATTTAAAATGCAAATATAAAATAAAAATACCTATTTATATCTTGTATTTAAATATTTTTTTTTTAGGAAAACATTTTGTATTTTATTTAAAATACTTTTCCAAACATATTTTCTATTTGTAAAATGCAAAATACATTTTTGCCTTTAAAAGTTTTGCTAGTATCACCGATCAAACATTATATAAAATTATGATAAAAATTGTTCATATTGACCATTGAAGGTATTAGTAGCTTAAAAAGGGGCTAACGAGAGGTGTTATGAATGCCTTCTAATTCCTTAACTGAAGAGATCCCAAAAAATTCTAAATTGGAAATGGATAATCTAAAATATTGGATCGATATTGTTTTCCGGGTTCAACATCTTGGTCCATGGAATTTTGAAGTTCTAAATTGATATCAGCACATGTCAAATCATCACTTATCGTACCTTTAGGAAGGAACTACGAAATTCTATGAACTACGACAAAACAGCCCCCAAAACAATATCGAATTGATATACGCCAGCTGTGTAAAACTAAAAACTACAAGATATTGTGGTGTGCTAATCAATGCATATAATCCAAATTTCTTAGAAAAATTTTACTGATTAGATGAACCCATCTTGAGAATATTTCGTGTTGCCGTGGTTTCGTATTTTAAATTTTTTTCTTTTGATGTAAGTTCTAGTGCATAAGGTAATTAATTGAATTTAAGTTCCTAACGTTTTACTTGAAAGAATTGATTTTAATTTTGTTATTTCTTTTTGATAATTGTAAATAATCACTACGTTGTGTAGCGTTTTATCTTATGGAATTGTAAATACAATCGGTTTTACTAATATTGTTAATTTATTTAAAATATACGTCGTTGGTAGCTGCCGATGTCTGATGTTTTTTATTTTACTACATTCATAATTAAATTAAAACAGTCTGTTGTTTCAATTGTTTAACGCCACTGTCAATATTTTGTGTATTTTTGTTTTTAATGCAATATTCAATCAAGTTACCATTTTTTTGTTATCATTTGTTTCCTGAACAATAATGTACTTAAAAATGTTCATTTTTTTCTGCTGCAATAAAGACTTGATTTTTTTAAATGTTTTTTTTTTCTTTGTGCATAACACGCAAAACTATAAATATCATCTGGATTATTGATTTAACAAAAGAGTTTGGATTATGCAGATAAATTTGAAAATATGGCCTTGCATATCACTAAGAGATGATTTGTGAGTGATAAAAAAGTTAAAAAAAAGTAAGTATGTTTAATATATATTTCCTAATATAACGAAATAAAATTTAAATACATGTTGTCACAAAAAGAGCGCTCTTTTTTTAAAGAAACTATAATGATCATGTTTCGTTGCACGATACAAAGGCAGAGGGAAGACAGATGTAAGATAATTACCAAAAATATGACCTATGAACTTTAATAAGAAAGAACAATTACACAGTTTGTTCATTGAATAGCTGTAGCGTGTGAATTTTGTAATTTGTCTAAAGGTCGGTCAAATGTTGAGAAATTGCAATAATTGTTTTCAGAGAGAGCTTTATACCTTTAAATTATGACACTGTTCTGTTTAAGTACCTAAAAGTTAAGGATATTATGAAAAAAGTTATATTAACTNGTTAGACATAATCTTGATTTGTGTATCCAAAAGATAAACGATTAACTATGAAAAATGAACTGCGTGTCATGTATTAAGGCATCTACACGTATTGGAGAAATGTATTACAACTTTTTTCTGTCTCTTTCTGACTATGTCTGATTTGATCCGATAAAAAAAATCTCATAGAACGTCCAAATGTTCACATATACAAAAGCATACAATCTGGAAGGTCTTATAGACTAGTAAACATATTCAAGAGTAGTTAACTCGGTATTGTTCAGATTCACGCATCCTACGTCACCTTTCACCTTTCTAGAAAACGAAAGTGCCACACGAGAGAAGAAAATTGTTATTTAATTATTCGCGACTTTAAATTAAACTTGTAGTTACGAGTTGTAACTGAAGAATTTGTTTTCGGTCCCAACCGTATCTATTTTTTGTTTCGTTTGTTAGAAAAGTCAAGAAACATCTGAACCAAAATCTTAGCGTTCTTTTTTTTTCTTATTAAGTATTGTTTTTCTTGGTGTAATTTTACAAAAGGCATTAGGATAGATGTA